GGTTGTATGAGAGATGAAACAATACATGAGTTTTCAATTGAAGGGAAAATGGACTACATGAAATGCAAATGGTTTCTTCAATGTCCAACTTTTGTTATCCAAAATGTTTATACTCATATTAAAACGAGTTCACTTGGTTCCTCATCCACTCATTTAGACTTCAATATTTTATATTTGATAGTCCTATTAATAGTAATGGAACTTCTTACATATAATATTTATACTCATGTGACCGTGGTAAACCTCAAATATGAAGTACAAAATATTCGGAAAACTCATACATCTTCAATGGAAACTACTCATGCAACAGTCGACTGTATAGTGAACTCGCTCATAGGAAAAAAAAAATATATATATATATATATATATATATATATATATATATACACACTAAAATAGAAGGGAAACAAAGAACATATTTGGAGGATAAATGACCTAAATGTTCCCTCCAGCTGTTGCTCACGGCTTGTCAAATCACCAAAGTCAGGTGTGACAATCCTTAGAAAACCTAAACCAAGCAGCATGTAAGCATACAAAATAGCAACTCCTCTACGACCAGTCAATAGCTTCATTCTCCAAGTGAACCTGAAATTAAGAAGCAATATAAGCAAGACAATGTAGACAGCAAATACACAACGAATCATGAATTAGATAGCATGAATACTTACCATAAAATATCAACGGTTGGTTTGACCATTCCAGTGACTAATCCAGACAAGTCACTAGTTAATTTCTCCAAGTCCTGAGTTAACCTCTGATCCGCATCAACACTTGCTCCACACATATGAAAAACCTAAAAAAACGCCCAGGTTAAAACTTTTCAGATGGGATTATGGGAAGGGAATAAAGCCTCCATTTATGAACGATGCTGACTTGAGACAGACTAGAATATACAAGGCTGAATAGCTTTGCTAACCGCTGCCATTTTTTCTATGACTAGCAAAAACTCAAATCGAGGTTCAGATATAAGTTTATAAGACCATTCACTTCAATACTCTATTGATTGATAAAACACAATGTGCTTATCATCTTGCAGTTATTGAGGTAAGGAGAAACATAACATGAAAAGAGTTTATCAAAATTAGTTGAGGCCAAAAATAAAATCGTGACTTTCACTTGGATAGTGTGTGGTTTAGCAATTAGCCAGACTGAGCATGCTTAGCCGGCACTAAAACTTCAAGTGATGAATTATGTCAAAATACGAGAATGTATTCTGGAAGTATTACTAAGCTAACTAATCTAATGGAACTTGGCCAATTAGCTGCAGGAAGGACAATCTTTGCATATTTTTATAATTCAAATTTTGACAATGAATGACCTCTAACCAAAACTCATACAAACAGATTCAGTACCTTATAATATGCATTCTTTCTCAAGTAATTTCTAAGCAAGTGTTTGGTCAGACGAATCCTCCATCCAAGAGCAAGCAAAGATGTTAGGTTCCTGGAAACAGCGATAAATTAACAAATGGAATCCAACTAAAGTTTGGACTATACCCACCTACAGTGGCATCAAGTTTGAATAACCGACAGGGTACTTTAGTATCTGAAGCCACAAAGAAAATCTAAATTAAAATCTCCTAGATGTTGGGAGAGTCCTCTTTGTACATGGTATTACATGTCCTAAAGCATGATATAACACCACAACTTTAACTATAGCTGAATATACAGACTGGGAAATAAATTTAGAATGTTACGCAACTTAAAATTACAACAAAAACTTTCTCGAGCAACGTTTCAAAGGGATATCACAACTAATAAGTTGGTTCAAAAGTAGCAAATTAGAAATTAAGGATTCTAGCACTGTGCAGGAATAACAACATGACTGCAAGTCGCCGCGGCAGAAATGTTTCACAAGCCATGCTCAACAAAATCATAAATCACTAGTTAAACTTAATGTCTTCTATAACAAGTCAAGAATCTTAAGACAGAAAGTTTGAGTGATAACTAGACATACCAACAATTGACCCCACACAAAATATGAAGAGGAATTTATATTCCTACTTTATTCTTGCCATTATGTGAAATTGGTGCCACAGTCCAAGTGATTTTAAGTTTGAAAGAAACTAGTGATTTAGAGAAGTGATAGAGATGCAGAACTATCAAGAAGCCCCACTGCCACACAAACAACAAGCAGGCCAGGACAAAATTTACAACTCAAAGCAGTACGAGATCTGACAAGGACATGGCAAACAACAGCTCGACGCTTCATTCATGTATGGATTTTCATTTCCAAATCTTTTAGAGATAATGATATTACCTCAAAGATGGTGCAACAAAGGAGGATGCAGCACTTTGGAGAACACTAACACCAATCAACCTAACGAATGCAGCTTTATCTTGCTCCAGAACATACTTCACAGTTGTCCCTGAAAATTTCAGTGCCTTTAAATTCTAAATGCAAAGTTTTTATGGGAAAAAAAAAAGGAGAATAAGGCAATAGAAACACTACAAAGAAATACCATTTAGCGATGCAATGCGGTCTGATATCCAAGTCCTGGATAACACCAGTATAGCAACTGCAAGGAGTTGTGCACCTTGTTTATCAAACACTGTGGGTACCTACAGGAAGTAGGTCATGAGCAACAACTTTTGAAGTACAAATAACCTAGTAACCTACAATATCTGTTCTTCCCTCCAAGGAGGATTTCACATAGGGGTTAATGTATTCATTATGAACAGAAAAATCAAAGAAGAACATCTTAAAAACACAAAGCAACCACAGTTTCAGGCAGTGAAACAATATGAGAATTTGATACAACGTTCAGAGGTCCTAATTATAAAATTAGTAGCAAAGGTCAGTTAAGTAGATAACAATTGATTGCTTCGCTTTGATCCTCCGACAACACAAGCAGCACAGTGTAATTAGTTTACATCTAAAGATTTACTTCTTATTTTCTAACAACACAAGCAGTCCATATAATTGGACAAGCTGTCTATGGCAAGTCATTATAACATCCTAGTTCAAAAACATCCCTTTCCCATTCTAATGAGTAGAATACTTCTGCTATTTCTTGAAATGCAGTGCACTATTTTTTTCTATTGAGTATAATATTTCTGCTATGAACAAAAGAGAGACAAAGAAAATTATGATACGCTTAAAAGTAAATCATAGGAACATGATTAAGGTCGTTGTTCTCCAAATAGTGCCACAGAACCATACATAAATGATATACAAGGCAGACAATCTACAAAGACTTACATTTGATCCTTGCCAATTAGAGAAGCTATTGGATGTAACGAGTACTTACTAGTATCTTAAACATGGAAGCCACTCTCAAAGGTAATATCCTTGGAACAGTTTGCAGCTGCGGAAAGGCAGGCGGTGAATAGTTATCTTCCTCAGTCAGAGATGATGCTATCAACTCCGAAGAATGTGACCTAGAAGCTGTAAATGCTGGATCCTAGCAATGATGATACCAAGTTAGTTGAATTTAAAATAGAGGATGCATCTAAATAATGATTCATCATAAATTAGAAGAACATAAATAACAGACCTTCTTTGTATTAGCAAATGCACGTTGGACAGTAAGGGCATCACTTTGTCGCTCTGGGTCAGAAATCCTTTTCTTAACAAACTCAGACTCCGTAAGAGCTGGAGAATCCGACCTAAAAATAATGAAATTGGTAATTGGCATGCATTAATAATCCACCAACTTAGAAAATTGGAAAGGTGATGCTAACATAATATTCATACTCTTTAAAATGCACACTCCACCCTCCTTCTCCATCCAAAGACAGGACAACATCATGAAATGCAACTAATGCAGGTCGATGAGAAATTGTAATACAAGAGGTTCCCATGGCTCGGACTTTAGCACAGAAACGCTCCTCCATATCAGTTGTCACCGCACTTGTGCACTCATCTAGGATAGCAAATTTAGGTTTATGGTAAAAGAGACGAGCCATTCCCAATCTTTGTTGTTCTCCTAGTGACAATTCATCACCCCAATTCACCTCTTTCTCAGGTGGGTACCGGTCCAGCAGATATTCAAGATCCACCTAAAGTAACAAAATACAGTCAATCAGAAACAAGCCCAGCTGAACAGATTTTGCCTTCGCATTTAAATGATAAGGGCTCAATTTACTGATTTACTGGAAATACTCACATTCTTCAACAACTCAGCCATTTCACTTTGTGAAAGGGCTTCAACCTCCTGATCTGATGCAAGGGGATATATCAACTGGTCACGCAGAGTTCCCACGGCCGTATATGGTCGTTGTGGCACATAAAAGATTTCCTTGTTTAAGTCAGAACCAACCCCAGGTTTCACAATATGACCAGCTACTAATGGCCAAAGGCCGCCCAAGACTCGAAAGAGGGAACTTTTTCCGCTTCCATTTGGACCTTAATGGATCAAGTGGCATTGTTAGAACTTCGTTAGATCATTCTAGAATAATGATATGCAGTTCCTACTATATGCTAAGTGCTACAATACACTAAACAATAATATTGTCGAACTTAAAGATTTTGTCCTATTAATCGCATACAAAAGCTACAATCAGAAAGCCAATATAAGCTACAAATTTAATGCGACACCTGTGATCGACCATCCAACTCAGTTAAAGATATTAAATTCTGTGCTCGAAAATCCATCATGCATGTTGCAACTTTTACAATTTATGTATTCTTATAGCTAAAATAATGACCCTGAAGGCAACTCAGAAATATTAAGCATTTAAATTCAAAATTAGCATAATACTGCTCGTTTAGGAGTTGATAGATGCATATTTACATAATATTTGATGCAAATCTATAAGGATGACTATCTATCATTTACATAACAAGTGTCTACCTGTGATCAAGAGATTAGAACCTGTTTCCACCCTTAGAGTCAAATCCTCTACCAAGACATTACCAGTTGGAGTGACAACCTGATAGATCCAATGCGCTTCAAGATTCCACAATAGGAAGAGAATAAAAATATAAAAGAGAGGCCAAACATTTGCTACCTTAACACCAGCAAATTCAATGTAATTTGCCTCAGTAACATAATTCTTGCTCCCATCAGGCTGCTGACTAGATGTATCACGTTCAGCTAACTCTTTAGATATACCCATGAGTTCATGAATACGATCTGCATAACCACTGAATACCAAAGAATAAATGTGTCCGCATAAATACATGGCAACAATCTAACCAGTATAATCATTCTCTACCTAAAGCACGCAAAACTGGACTACTTAAACCATAAGTACTATACAAGGTCCATGATGGAAAACTAAATCTTCGTGAACTTAAGAACTACAACAATTACCACATTCTTAAATTACAATACTTGAGCATAATCTGGTCAAAAAATAACTTGAACAAGCAATACCTCAAGCGATTGAGCCGTCTCGAACTTACAGAAAGAGTTCCCAGGGACTGGAACAATGAAATTATAACGCTTGTATGATATCTTAAATTGCTTAACATCTCTGCTCTTCCTAGGGTAGAAGAGTCTGGTCTTAGGTTCCCAGAGAAAAATGGTTCAATAATCAGGATGACCGCAACAGTAGCACCAAGATACTTGAGCAAGAAATCCTGAATCATGCCAAACCACCAATGGTCATGAAGTACAACCCTCATGTGCTGCACAAGATTCCGAAACTTCTTCTGAATGTGAAACTCCTCCCTATTTTCTCCACCATATAGTGCTATGGTCTCTGCATGGGTCCTTAATCGTGAATGTAACTGCCTATATTCCCCTTCCAGCTGCTGTTCTTCCGACATGAGTTTTCCAAAAGGTGGCGAAAAATTTCTAATTGCAGTCCCTGCCCCCAACACATAGGCCTAGCAATTAAAAATATAAAGAAAGATGATGCAAACTACCCAACAGTATAATAACAATGAACTAAAATAAAAGAATACTCAGTGTAGGAATGAGAATCTAGCATATAGATGTAAGTTGCAAATCTTTTACCATAATCCATAAAAGGTACTTTGGGCTTGCATAAGAACATAAACGCCAAGTATAGAGCAGTCCGTCGGTAACAGCAATGAGATCCTCTTGCACAAGGTCACTCAATTCCGAGCAAAACCTGGGTATATCACTGGCAATTCTCTGCTCGGGATTGCTTATCCGGCCATCAACATGAGATATCTTGTAGTATGCCATATTCTGAATCCAAACAAATAATATGTAAACACTAAATTATCCAGAAAAGAGAATTATTTCAATATGAAGAACTTATACGTCCATGTGCAATTGTACTCAATTAGTTCACTAATTAATGTCTCCACACCCCACCTTAAACCGAAGACACTTATAACAAACTTCGAATAATGGCACTCGAAAATTAAATTATCAGACATGAGATTTGCCCATGTCCAAAGTAACATAGGTAACAGCATATGTGAAAACTGTAATGACATAACAATAGCCCAACTAAAAATGTCAGTAGAATATGTTTAAGCAAAGTAATTTTCCATTATTTTCTAATCGTAGAGGTATAATATCAATTTGAATGAATACATAACTATTTTATTTAAGATACAGAAACAAGGCCAATAACATCATGAAGCTATCCTGTCAGACCAGGCATTAGCAATTACCTGAAAATATTCAGAATGTGTGAGCTTGGTCAAAATTTTTCGGAACCGTAAACTTAAGGTCCCTGTTACGTACTTGGAAGTGGAAGTCAATGTTGATAGAGCAAAACAAAGCAAGATGTTTTCCATAATAAGACGAACAAATGCTGGTACACGTCGAAGAAAAGCTACACGGAAAAGCAAACCTTGAACTTTAGCTAATCTGTTACTTACAGAAGTTCTACAAACCTGCAAATGCAGAGAGAAAACCATAAGACAATATCACGAGTGATTCAACACACAGATGATAAACAATCCTATACGCATTATGTTTTTATTTTTTCAAAAAAGCCTATATGAATACAATACACACACGCACACACACACACATACAAACAAACACAAAGTATGCCTTTCTTGAATGGAAAAATATACCGCTATAGCCACCAATGATAACATATTTACTGCACCCATTCGGCCCATGTGAGATAATAAAATACCAGCCAAAACCTGGAGGGACCTCAAATTTCCTTTTTTTTGCCTGCTCTTTTTCACATTATCATTATTTCCAATCAGTTGGTCTGATTCATCATTATTGTTATTGATTCCATTATAATCACTAAAAGAATTTTTCTTTATATTGCTTTTTCGTGACTGAGCATATGCAGCAGCGGCAGCAGTTCCACCAACAGCCACAATACTAGTAGCAATAAGCAAAGCTTTCCTGCAATTAAATTTAGAATATGAAAAGATAAATTAGATGGATATATATGTACGATAGCAATACAAATGTCACGACAAGTAAAGGCACTCAAAAATCTTCTGACATGATAGCAAAATACAAGAAGAGTAACCACAACTTTAACAAGAGAAAATGAAAAAGGAAAGAAAGTAAACATGCTGGTTCATACGACATGGGTAGATTGTGCATCTCCTTTAGATTCAATAGTCAATTTCATTGAGCAACCATGTTAGAGAGCAAAACTGTTGTACGTTCGTTTCCCACATGTAATGCAAGCCATTCCTAGAATTTCTCTGTTTTCACTCTGGTCTCAAAATCCTACTATGCCCCGGTGATATTCTCTTATTAAAGATATGCCAAAAAGTAAAATGAAAAAAAGCATTCTTAGATATGACCCTCGATATGCTCTGCATGCTAGGCAAATATTAGAGCATTCTCATGGAACATTTAGCAAAAAACAATTGATGCATGTCTCTGGCCAAACATAAACTAGGGCAAATTTTACATGACCAGGAAAAATTGGTCAGAAGACATCGGGTCTTAAATTCTTAAGAGATAAGATACAGGAACGAACAAGATTTTGAGGTTCGGAACAAAGATATAAAAAATAAAGAACCAATCATTTCACTGTTCAAGACAGAAAAGGTACTACATTCTTGGAAGCATAAATGAAATGTATGAGTATGCTATCAGCAAAGAAAAATACACAACCATTCCCCTTTTCTTTTTAATTAAAGACCATACCTTTCTTTTCCCTCTTCTTGCATTCTTAACTCATACAAGTACATATGACTATGTTTCAAATAATTGATTAAATCATGATATTTCTTGTTCTGAATTACCGCGTGCATGTAGTGATATTAATGTTGTTGGAGTACAAGTGTCAGTGCGATACAGACTGTCAGAAAACACATACAAAAAGAAGTGGTTCACCGTCAAAGAGTGCAGAATATTCACCTTCTCGAGGCCAAAATTCCACGACCACGATCAGTCAACTGAAGAAGCTGAAGAGAGGGCATCTTTAGCACACACCCGTAGATAAGTATCAGAGGATGTGGCTACACCTACTTGAGATGTCAATAGCAATTATTCCATGTTTTTAGTGCCTGGAGAAGTCATGCATGTGTGACCTTATAGAAAAAAACTTACACACACAGCCACATATCAAGTGCAAACAAACTTGGATGTTTTTACTACAAGAAACATATTATTGCATGAAAAAAAGTATGTTAAAAAAAATCATACAAAAGTGAGTACAAGTTTATGAATAGCAACATCATTACATGTACAGTATATGACAGGCTAAGGAACATGCAACAACTCTCTAAGATCACATGGACCAGTCTATCTATACACTAACATCACCTCTCTAAGATCACACAGACCAGTCGATCATCTATACACTTCCTTAACGTTGATATTTATGCTGGCCTTTTTAGTCGGTCCGAATCCTAAATCAACTCTTTATGGTCGTTAATTACAATATCATATGAAGTTCAGAGAGTCCATATAATTAGAGATGTCAAAAAGGGCCGGCGGCTGCCTTGGCCAACAGTCCGTCAAAGACCACCTTTTCTTGGCGGATGGGCTGGCCTACCCTAGAAGTTTTACAAAAAGGAAACCTGGCGTGTACCTGCCTCAGGCCACTAGTCAGGAGGGCCTGGCACGCCTGTAAAAAAATTAAAAAACTGGGGCTGGCAGCTTAATCCACTTGTAATGTTGTATTCACGACTTTCATCAAATTTTCACATTAGATAATGTCCAATTTCATCAACAGTTATTGTGGATAAGGGAACTTCAATTCAAGAGCAGTTTTTTAACTCCATTCAATTCCAGAAAGGTGTCAATCATTAAAACCATCAAGCGAAAACCTCTAACAACAGCAAATAATTCATTACTTCATGGAGATTTCGGAGTTATAGATGGCAGCCAGACCGGCGAATCTTAAGTCTCAGCAGCTGGGAGTTGCACAAGGTTGCCAGTAGTTGATGGAAATTTGAGAGTCGAGCATTGAGGTTAGGGGTTTCTTTTCTGACTCAAGACTGAAGTTTTAATGCCGAGTCTCGAATCCAGCATTCCAGCTATCCCCTTTTCTAATTATTTGGTAATTTTTTCCACAAAAGACAGATTTGCTCAACACTGACAACAAAACACCACCACAAACAATGATGATGCTTATGATAACAACAACAACAACAACAACAACAACAACAACAACAACAATAGTATTAGTATACGAAGACAAACCGGAGACAGAACAAAACTTCCATCACATGTACACCAATTCCCTTCCGCAATCCAATAAACAGTATGGGGATTTCATCACTCAACTAAAAAACATTTAAAGAACACTTAATTCTTACAAGAAATATAAACAAACACTACCAAAGACAAAACCTTGAGCTAACCTGGTCTTTCTTCGACCTAGGATACTCCAATCGTTTTAATTTGCTCGAGCTTTCGAATAATCCAATCAGGCAACAAAATCAGCTTTCATCAAAGAAAATTACCAATCAGCATAGGAACAAACCTGTTCTTGACTATTTTATGAGAGTAACTAACTGTACTTAAATTGAGGAACATCACTGGACTGGACACCAACGAGAATTGGGAATTTCCAGAGATGGGATTGAAGAAAGGATTAGAATTTGATGGGGAGAAGGGTTATGGAGCTACTAATATTGTATGTCCTTTTATTTTTATTTGTCAAGAAAAAATCGACAAAATATTCTATATTGGGATTTTGGAGATGGAATCAGCTGCATCAACAAAGCGAGCGGATGACGCACCTCGATTGGTGTGAGCTTCAAATTGGCGGTTGTGATCAACGCGCCTCATTTCATTTTTTTTTTTCTTTTCTTTCCTTTTTTCTTTTTATTTTTGTTCTTTCGTACTATTCAACATCTCAATCGGAGCTAGTTTTATTTATAATTACGTGTATAATTTGAACATTTAGTAATTTTGTAGTATTATGTACGAAATCCAGAAACCCAATCAACGCAACCAACTGCATAGTGCACGAGATCCAATGATTGGGTAGTTTCACAAATTCACGTGAGACCTATGTGCGCTACAAGTGTCTCTTTTGTTCTCAAAAAGTCATGTCAGTTAGCAGTCATGTCTTAATGAATCTCATCTTCTCAATCCTCATTGAACGCTTAGTCGAAAAGAAGCCTTTTGCACGTCTTACCTTCTGCTGAGGAGCAAAATCGCCCCTATCCACCTTTTCGAAGTTTGAAAACCCCTACTGACGATCTCACATGTGGACGCCACCTAAGATCAGCAAGATTGACAAACAGGTTTTTGAGATCGTAGCGATCTGCACGTGATCTCCAACACGACCCGAAAATTAGGGGTCCCTTGTTGTACATAAATATTCAGGGCAGACCAATTTAGCATCGGAACCACAGGGCCCATGTTTGTATTAGGTCCACGCCAACTCTAGTACAGAGTCATGCAAAAAACCCCCAGTGCCCATGAGTTCTATGTCGATCTCTCTCCAGCTTGAGTGTCGATCTGCCTGTTGGCATCAAATGTCGGTCCCCATGTTCAGTGTGCCGCCCAATCAATCCCATCATCAAAAGTTGGGTTATGCATGGAGACACGTGTCAGGATGCTATCCCTAGTTGACAAATGACAATCATTGCTCTTTCAGTTTATTCATGTATAAATTGCACATCGAATGTTGTTAAATGTTGATTTGGCATTGTCCGACAAACTTAAAGTTTTCTAGAAGATTTTCTTATTAGACAAGCAAAATAAATTAAATTTAAATTTCTTTATTTACTTATAAACTAGTGAAGTTCATAGTATTTATTATTAATAATATATGGTATATATTTATTATAGTATTCATTATGAAGTACTAACTCTTTATGAGAAGGATTTCATGATATATATCTTAGATATATTCACATATCATATATGTCGCTTGCATTAATGAGTTAGGTTTTATATCGTGATTAGTTTACTCTCTCCTGTATGGCAAGAAATATGTGGCAAAGACTATAAAAGGTTGAGTTTACCATACATGAAGGATCTTGAACGCTTTGGAAAAGATCTAACGAGGATTTGGAAAGATTCACCGCAAGATCTCTTATATTTGTGAGATCGACTATTTTTGGAAAGTGATGTTCTTGCACGAATTTTGAAATACATGAAGTGATGCTCACGCGTTGTGGCCAAGAAAGTAATGTCTACATATATTAAACACTACTAAATTTAACATACAACTTGGATTAGTGGGTTGGTTACACTGCCAATATGCAACCTTTATCGCCATGTTGCAGAAAATCACTATGTGAGCAGACAAAGCCCGAAAATGGGCCATGTAATTCAAATCGCCAACAGAAGTGAAAGTAGTATATATATTTACCAAACTTAAAAGTGGTGCATATAATAAAAATTCAAAATTTTATTAGCAATTAAGCCAAGAAAAAATCCTTTTTTTTTCTAACTCTTTTTCCCCTCCTCACCGCCTACTTCCAAAAAAGTCTTCTTCCCCCTGTCAACTCCACCAAACAGACAAATCAAAAGAAAACACGTGGCGTAGAGCGCGTGCACCCGCCAACTAATCTTGGGTGGTTGGTGCAGCACGGCCTTGTGGAACACCGACACGTAGTAATGAAGCCCAACCGTGAAGCCCACGGAAGTCTGGACTAGGCCCAAAAGCCTAGTCGTCGGCCCAGCCTGAGTCGAGAACACCAGAACTAGATACATCAACAGGATCAGCAGGTACACCACATAAGCCAGCGTCTGCAGCACCTGCACGCACACGTAGGTGGACCGCGACGTAGAGTAGAAAAACCTCATCGGCTCGAGCCCCGTGGCCAAGGCCGACAGGCCCAGGATGGCGAAACAAATGGCTAGATAAACCTGGATGAAAATCAAAAGCTTCTGAAAAATAGACTCTGATTTTTGGTTGAAAGAGAAGCTGAATTTGATTTGGAAGAGGTTGACGGCGCAGGGTGTTCGAGTGGGCTCGCCTTGGCGGGCTTGGTCTTGTTGTTGGTCTTGGACGATGGATCATAAGGGAATTTAGTGGGCTTGGTTTGGTGCTTGGATGAATTGGAAGTGGGCTTGAGGAGTTTGGTTCGGTTGTTCTTGGAGGAGATTATCTGGGCCTTGTTCGTGATTGGCTGATCTTCATTTTCTTCCAAATCTAACAAACTTCCAAAATCTTTTCTTAAATTTAACTTAATTTTGAATTAACCTCGTTATCATAAATATTATCAGTATAATTAAATAGTATTAATGAATTATTATTACACATTATATTAACTTTAACTAGTGTGGTACCCGTGCGATGCACGTGCTAGTTTTATTAAGGTAAGCATTTATATTTAGATGATTGAAAGAACGTAAAACGCATGTATTAGAATAAAACAAAATGTACTTTATATATTACTAAACACATTCTTGTACACAACATTATTTGTTTGGCCTGTTTGTACATCGTCTATCGCATTGATAACCAAATTTAACAGAGATTGTAAAACATCTTTCTTGATGATCTATAGCCTTAATATTTTAAAATTGTGAATTATTTAATTTAAGGAAGGAAAAAAAAATTGTGTAAAGATATGCAATCAATTTCAAATTTGTATTATAGAGGATCAAACAAAACTCAAAATTTTAGGATGTTCCAGTCTGATTTCATTTTGAATTTAAAATTAATATTATTTGACTCTGTTTAAAGAAAGTAGTAGCCAAATGATAAAGATTTTTTTAAATTTTAATTTTTAATTCGAATTGGACCCGATTTTTATGCAATTCAATTTTTTTAATAAATGTGATATGTTGCAATTAGGTAAAGATACATAACATATTTTGCCTAATTCGAAATTCTTGATTTTATGGCAAACATATTTTTTAGTAAAAAATCGAGAATTTTGACTTTTAAAAAAATGTCATGCTAAATTTTACCTCAATTAACTCGATTTCTATGCAATCCAATATTTTTTTTATAAACAATTAATGTGTTGCAATAAGGGAAAGATATCTGTGATAGTATTTTGCATAATTCAAAATTCTCGATTTTTTGATAATCAGTTCTTTAAATAAAAAATTAGAAAAAAGTTTGACTTTTGCAAAATTGTAAGCATCAACCGAAATTTACCTAAATTAAATCCACAAAACCCATGAATTTAGTATGCATATATAACAGATTTATCTTTTGAGAATAACTTCAAAAAAATTAATAAATTGCAAAAACTAGAATGTAATAAATGATGGTTGTCTTTTTTATTACTATTTACCTAAATTATTTTTTTCACATCGAATGTGACATCGACATGAATAAGATCACGACGAAGGAAGCAGTGGGTAATAAGTGCTGACATCGGTTTTTTTTTTGGTACAGGGACCTTCCGGTTTCCGAATCCACAGGGGAACCGACTAATCCGGAATCGAGCCGGGTAGGACCACAAAGGCGGCAAAGCTCTCCCTCAAGAGTTTTAACATTGCTGCATTTGATTACGAACATGGAATGCCGATGTAACTCGGGTCGCACGTGGTGTCGATGTGTTCCTAGCCGATTTAATATTATCAGTCAATATACCCAACTCGAGCCCTATTTTATTTGGTCACGCAAATTATTCATCTCAACAAGCCGACACTAAACTTGGCAAGAACAAATGTAATCCGTTAGATCTCAAACAGAAAAACATAATAACATGTCTGAAGAATTTGCACAACTTTGGTATGTGTCAAACTAAGGAATTCGTTTCTGATCTGAATACCAACTACAGAAAACAAATTCACGAACATCGAACAATGATAAGATAATATCCCCAAGTGTTTTCTACAGCACAACAAGCTTAGTAGTAGCCGCCGGTTGTCTCTCAAAAGGCGACAACTTGGCGAGTAAAGCCACGGCCCCTTGGCTTACCTAGCCGTGGCTTCAATATTACAACTTGAAAATGAGAACTTTATATACAGACACTATTCACGAAAACTCCGCTTACTATACGCGCGGTCGTGAGTTCCAAGAAGCATGGAAAGGAAAAATTAATAAAAAATAAAGAAAATGCTACAAGTACATAATAAACGTATATAGAGGTGTACATAACACTCACATAGAGTGATGTCTACTTGATTTTTTATTTTTGGTGGGTCCCATTCAATGTAAGTGTTATGTACATTTCTATGTACAATATTATATACTTATAGCATTACTCAAAAAATAATACCAATAATAATAATAATAACAACATATAGAATTAAATTTCATGTCTGCTCATCATTTTCCCGACAATCAGGACTCTCCTCGCTCGGCACATTAGGTTCATCCCTGATCAAAATGTAGCTATCGTCCGACTCTATATCTCGAGTTTGGGACTCGATAAAAGATGCCATCCTGGCCCGGTCCCTGTCTCCAGGATAGGTGCAGTGGAGGAACGAGTAGATGAGGCAGCAGATGGTGAAGGGGATGCCTATAGACACGTAGAGCGCCTTGCCAAGGGCCCGCGCGTTCTCCTTGTCTGTCTCCACATTTCCCGAGTCGACTGATTTGTAGCCAAACACGTTCTGTGACAGTAGTCCCACGACTGGGGGTGCGAACGAGGACAGGATGGTCTCGAACGACCTATCCAAGGCGTAGATGCTCGTTCGGGCTCTCTCAGGGACTATCTCCGCAAATATAGGGCTGCATGACATGTGGAAACAAAAATTGTCAAAGATTAAAATGATAAAAGATTTAAGATGCTGAAGAAAGTGTTTGGGAGCTTATATGCTGCTTATAAGATATTGCAAACTTATTTTGGAACTATATTTCTATATGTTGTTAAGCTCTAAGTTCAATCTCTGTATATTACGGCAGAGTTGAGGTGAGCTGAGCTAAGCACAGAAACGAACCGGTAGAGTTCGACCTATGGACTCGACAGAAAAATACAAAATTCTACCCAAGATTCCACAGTAGCATAGTTTACAATTTGAACACAAATATTCAGGCACATTCAATCTCAAACCAATATTATCCCACATTAACTTCACATGATTATGTCGAGCAGATTCCTTGTTTATCAAACAAAGCATGCTCCGCATAAATAATAATAAATACAACTTAACAAACACGGCTCACAAACAAATACGTACTTGTTAGTTGCCGGAACACACCAGGAGATGACCAGCCCCATGACAACAAACACCACGCCGTGCAGGATGGCGGTGGAGGAGTCGTCCGGCAGGCCAAGTATGAGGAGCGCGGCCAACGGCACAGCCAGCCCCGTGCTCACCTGCGCCATAATAATCCTCCCGGAGTCCGGCAGCCTTCGGGCCATGAAATCCCCCATCTTCCCCCCAAACAGCCCCCCCAGCGAGGTTGCCACGATAAACAGCGACCAGATAGTGGCGGTGGTCCCATGTGAGAAGCCCATGAGCTCGAGCCACATTCTCCCGAACGAGAGGGCCGACCATGGGAAGCTCCCGGACACCCCTTGCCCCACCAGAATCCTGAAAGACGGCACCTTTATCACATCCCTAGCCTCCTTAAGCAGACTCCTTGCCTCCTCACCAAGAAAAGATTTCGTGGGTTCTTGACCGTTGTCCTTGATTCTGCTGGAATCGTAACGTGGGTCCCGAGCGAAGAGGTGGACGAGGATGCCAACGAGGATGCTGAGGGCGGCGACCAGATGGAAGGCAACGCGCCAGCCTTCGAGGCCGAGTATGGTGGTGGGGGCAAGGAGAACGGCCACGAGACTGCCAAAGACGGAGCCGAAACTGGATGTCAGGTGGAGCCACCCAAAGGCTGTCCCACGGTTCGACTCGATTGTCGAGTCGGCTATCAGGGATTGGATGGAAGGGATCACGAGGGCTAATCCGATTCCGTTCAGCCCACGTGACACCGCCACCTAATGGATGAGGAAATCATTTAAGTTTTTTTAAGGATTATGGCAATTTCTTGGACAAAAATAAAAAAAATAAATGAACAAGTTGAACAAACAAAAATTATCTCAAGTCAGGAATTGATAATCTGGAACACTTGGATGCTTAATTAATTTCCAAAATTGCCCTTCTTCCCCACCATCAACCAAGAAAAATGACTCAGTCAGAACACAGTACTTCAATAAAACAGCAAATTCAAAAAATAAAATGAAAAATAGAAATGCTAATTAAGGGATAAACCTCAGTAAATGTGGAGGAGATGGCAACGAGGAAGGTGGCGGCGGCCCAGAGGAAGGCGCCGAGGGCGATGACGTGCGTCCGGTTGTGGCGGGCGGCGAGGTAGGCGGCGACCGGGAAGCACAGCGCCTGCACGAACGATTTGAAGAAGGTGAGAGAACCCAGCTGGGTGGGGTCGGCGTGCAAAGACTCCCCGACCTCCTTGTAAACCGCCGGCAGCAGCTGCTCGTCGGCGTTGTCCATTATTCCGGCGAGGTTCACCAGAAACAGGGTCAACGTCTCCGGCCCCGTCTCGGCAAGCGTCATGTCACTTCAACTCTCGATTTTCTTAGGAACAAAGGGTCTATGGTTGGATTTGGTTGGGTAATTTTGCTTCTTTTCTTTTACTTTTTCCTTTTCTTTTTTCTTCCTTTATGCTACCTTAGTTTTCAAGGTTTTGTGTTGGGATGGCAGTTTCAAAAACCGTCCTGTCTCGGCTTTTTATTCAGTTGCCCACCAATACAGAGGTCCCAAGGTTGACATTAATATCGAAAATGCTACATTCCCGTTCCAATTCCGTAAACGTTAGATCATCATGTAATCGTCATGGATAGTTGATCTAACGGTTATAAGTCCCGACGAAATGGTCGAAATCATTCCGTTGAAGTTTGTACCCGTTAGATGATCGTGTAACCGTCATAGATAATTGATCTGACGGTTATAAATCCCGACGGAATGGTTAGGTAATGGGACCGTAGAATCTCCCGACTCTAATAACATTATTATTTATGTTACTTTTATAATTATTTTTGTATTGTTATTTATTACTATCTTTATATTATATTATAGGTATTATTGAGATTTGAGAACGTGATTATTGTAGGAGTTCCTTAAAAGGTATAACAATAAAACTGAGTGAGACAGTTTTAGTATAAAATCTTGATTGTTACACCATATATTTTGAAATTATTATTGATACGCAATGTTTAATTGACTTGTCATAGAATTTTATTTTATTTTATTTTCCTATTGAAAAAGGTAAATTGTAGGTAGAAGGTAAGTAATTATTGATATGCAACGTCTAATTGACTTATCATGGAATAAACTTTTTATATTGAAAATAGACAATTATTTTCTATTTGGGGCAACGCATGTGGAAAAAGAAAAACCTCACACTGTTATAAAATGCGAGCAATATAAAGAACACAATGTAAAAATCGGATACAGATTATACGGCACTTTCTTTCACTTCTTCCGTTCACTCAAAAATGTGTGTTCAAATGTACTACATTTGTTGCCTTTTTATAGGCAAACATGACACACTCTTCAATACATATATTAATATAATAATGAAAGTGATAATGTGGTTAATTCCACATATTTACAATACTCCCCATTGGAATTACCACTATTAAATGTGCGTTTATGCTGCCTCGTTAAAAACCTTATCTGGAAAAACCCTGTGGGAAAAAACCGAGATAAGGAAAAAAGAGTACATCCGCACATACTCCCCCTCGAGTTATGATCCGTGCAAATCCCGAAAATGTCTCATCCCAATGTTGTGTACATGTTTTCGAAATATTGTCGTCGGAAGCGCCTTTCTAAAATAGATCTGCTGCATTATCGCTTGATCGAATGTATTGAACTTTAATTTGTTTGTTCCTTTCAAGCTCTTGCGCATATGAGAAGAACTTTGGCGGGATATGTTTAGTTCTGTCATTCTTGATGTATCCTTCTTTGGTTTGAGCGACACATGCTGCATTGTCCTCGTATATCACCGTCGGGTCATTATTATGCGATAGTCCACTGACTTGCTGAATATGTTGAGTCATGTTTCTGAGCCAGATGCTTTCCCTAGTTGCTTCATGAAGTGCAATGATCTCAGCATGGTTTGAAGATGTCGCAACTAATGTTTGTTTCTGGGAACGCCAAGAAAATGCAGTTCCGCCAATCGTAAAAACGTATCCAGTTTGAGATCTTGCTTTATGGGGATCTAAGAGATATCATGCATCTGCAAAACCGATTATTTCATGTTTTTTATCGTTAGAATAAAACAGTCCCAAATCGATTGTCCCTTGGAGATAACAGAATATATGCTTGATTCAATTCCAATGTCTCCTCGTAGGTGCCGAGTTATATCTTGCTAATAAATTGGTAGCGAAAGATATATCTGGTCTGGTACAGTTAGCAAGATACATAAGAGCTCCTATGGCACTCATATATGGTATTTCAGGACCAAGTATTTCTTCATCTTCTTCACAAGGTCGAAACGGATCCTTTTCAATATCTAATGTTCGATTGACCATTGGAGTACTAAATGGATTCGCCTTGTCCATATTGAATCGTTTCATTATTCTTTGAGTGTAATTAGATTGATGGACAAATATCCCATTTTGGACCCGTTCTATTTGCAAGCCGAGACAATATTTGGTCTGTCCGAGATCTTTCATTTCAAATTCGCCTTTTAGTAAAGTGACTGCTTCTTGAATTTCATTTGTAGTCCCAATAATATTAAGATCATTGACATAGACAACAATTATCACAACTCCATCTTGTGATCTTTTTATAAAAACACACGGGCATATTTGATTATTTATGTATCCCCGTTTAAGCAATTGTTCACTCAAACAATTGTACCACATACGCCCGGATTGTTTCAAGCCATACAATGATCTTTGCAGCTTTATCGCACATAACTCTTTAGGTTTGGACTTTAGTGCTTCGGGCATTCTAATCCCTTCTGGAATTTTCATATAAATGTCAACGTCTAGTGATCCATATAAGTAAGCAGTCACAACATCCATAAGACGCATCACAAGATTTTCATGGATGGCCAAACTAATCAAGTATCTGAAAGTAATCGCATCCATAACAGGGGAATATGTTTCATCATAATCGATCCCAGGCCTCTGGAAAAGTCCCTGTGCTACAAGGTGAGCTTTATATCTTGTGATCTCATTTTTCTCATTTCTTTTTCTGACAAAAACCCATCTGTACCCAATAGGTTTTATGTCTTTAGGTATAATGGTAATAGGTCCAAACACCTTTCGTTTATTAAGCGAATTTAACTCGGCTTGAATAGCACCTTTCCACTTGTCCCAATCATGTCTTTTCTGACATTCAATCATAGATTTTGGTTCAGGATCCTCAACTTCTTTGTCAATTTCTTGTGATACCATATATGCGAACGCATCATCAATGATCCCATCACGCTTCCAAAGTTTCTCATTATTTACATAATTGATGGATTCTCTTTTTTTTCGAGGATTCTTATCTTTAGACCCCACTGGCCTTCCTCGTTTCAAGCGTGCCTTTAACTCATTTGGCATATCGTCATTTGCCATTTCTTTTGAAATCTCAATTCGAGCAGGGGCATTTATAGCTGCAACATGTGATTTTGTCACCCTTTTTGTGTCAGTAAATGCATCTGGCAATTGATTTGCAATATTCTGCAGATGTATAATTTTTTGAACTTCTTGCTCTCTTTGTTTGGTGGGAGGATCAAGATATGATAGTGATGATATTCTCCATTCAATATTTTTCTCAATTGACTTTTCATTCCCACCTAAAAGGGGAAATAATTCTTCATTAAAATGACAATCATCAAACCGAGCTGTAAAAACATCACCTGTTTTTGGTTCAAGGTATTTTATTATTGATGGAGATTCATATCCAACATATATTCCCAACCTTCTTTGAGGCCCCATTTTCGTACGTTGGGGCGGAGCAATTGGTACATACACTACACAACCAAAAATTCTTATATGTGCAATATTTGGTTCTCGACCAGATGCCAACTGTAATGGCGAGTATGTATGGTGTGCACTTAGTCTTATGCGAATTAGATTATCTGCATGCAGAATAGCATGTCCCCATACTGAAGTGGGCAGTTTTGTCCTCATTATCAATGGTCTGGCTATAAGCTGCAATCGTTTGATCAATGATTCTGCTAGACCATTTTGAGTATGAACATGTGCTACAGGATGTTCAACATCAATTCCCAGTGCCATACAATAATCATTAAATGCTTGAGATGTAAATTCTCCAGCATTGTCCAGTCTGACCCTTTTGATAATATAATCTGGGAATTGAGCCTTAATTTGATAAGTTGGGCAAGCAATTTAGCAAATGCCACATTTCTAGTGGATAACAAACTCACGTGAGACCATCTACTAGAAGCATCAATTAACACCATAAAATATCTGAATGGACCACAAGATGGATGAATAGGTCCACATATATCACCATGAATTCTTTTAAAAAATAACGGTGATTCATGTTCGATTTTAGTATGTGAGGGTCTTATTATCAATTTCCCTTGAGAACATGAGGTACACGTCAATTCACGTGTTTGCAATATCCTCTGATTTTTTAACGGATGTCCACTAGAATTTTCAATAATTCTCCGCATCATTATCGAGCCAGGATGACCAAGTCTATCATGCCAAAGTTTAAACATTTCATTCGCCTGCGACTTTGTTGCACCATAAGTCTCAATAATATAAATGCGGGTGTAATATAAGCCCGATGATAAAGCTGGCAATTTCTCCAAAACACATTTATTTCCCGCAACATTTGAGGTAATGCAAAGATATTCAACTCCCCCTTCATTCATTGTTTCAACATGGTATCCGTTCATTCGGATATCTTTAAAACTCAACAAGTTTCTTGTTGATTTCGGGGAGAATAATGCATCATTCAATGTAAACTTTGTACCTCCCATCATAAAAAATATGGCTTTTCCAGAACCCTCAATTATCTTTGCATTTCCAGATATTGTGTTTACTTTTGCTTTATTTAATTTCAAGTTGACAAAATATTTTCTGTCCTTGAGTATAGTATGAGTTGTGGCACAATCTGCAAGACATATATCTCCATTTTGAATTCGAGACTGATCCATGATCTAAAAGAAAACAACATTATTATTGATCAAATCTGAAATACAGATACAACTAGTACAAATACGCAAATACAACAAAAACTTAGAAAGCAATAAAAGAAACAGGATAATCAGTTGTTCTCTTAGTCATTTCCAGCTTTTTCTTCAAATACCGTATCAGCAAAATCCAGGTTCAACATGTCATCGATGCCATAGTCATCATCTACACGTGTTGTATTATTTTCAGAGGATTCCCCAACTATAAAATTAGTTTCTACATTTTTATCTTTCGATTTCTGGGAATCATTATATTTATCAACAACGTGTTTTGGAGCACGACAGTTTCGTGCCCAATGTCCCGTCTTTCCACATCGATAACATGCATTTTCATTATTATTTTCCGTCACATTATTTTGTTCAAATTTTGGCTGAAAATTTCTCCCCCTTT